GGGGGGGGGGGGGGGGGAAGGTACTGCAAGCTCTTGCAACTTTCATGTAAAGAAGAAGAAACAACTGAGCTATCTACTTTTTCAATTAATTTCAACGACAAATGAAAAGTCCATTTTGACATTCAGAGGTGGAAAAATAATTTTTTTTTTGCTCCATATTTCCTGTTGTATTTCCAGTTAGGATGTAAAATCTTGGGAATAACATTTTGGTTTTCCCAAGTGTTCATTCAAAGCAAATTAGTCAAGAGAATCACAACCTGTATAAATCCATCATCGCCAGGGCCCGGGATCTCAGAACACGACTGTGCTGAATCCTGAGATAAGTCTCTCTGCCAGAAATCCTATTATTTAGAAGTACAACAAAAATAATAATCGGAGATGACATCAGGACAGTGAGAACATTGCACTCTTCCTTGTGCATCCGAAGAAGCTAACATCCGCTCATCGCTGGCTACAGCGACAATACCGGAGCCTGCGAAATGTCTGGTTGGCTCCAACATAAATAATCTCCTGTCCTCTGGGGAAAATTCTTTTTTCACTCCATGGCTTCAGAAAGACCATTGGCATGGGCACACAAACAACTTCTAGGGGTGGCGTGGAAATATCATTCAATGAGTTGAGAACAGATAAGGATGTGTTTTTACACTTGCGGTAAGTGGATGCTGCTTGGAGTATAATGGACACTTTCTGTCAGCACATCCTTTCTCAATTCTTAGCCCCTGGATTATTTAAAGACATTACAGAGCATATTGGCGGGGTGGGGGAAATGTGCAGTTAGGTAGAAGAAATTGGCAAGAGTGCAAGACAGATAAAATCGAAGAGATGAGGCAAGGCGGGAGGAAACATCTGGAGCACCTGGCAGGGGTTGTTTCAGGTTCCTCGCCTGAAGTAGTGAAGTGGCTTATTATTAACCCTTCTCCATGGTTGGCCTGGAAGCTGGTTTTTCCTGCTCTTGCAGATTTCTCTAAAAACAAGTAAGCTAACAGCAAACATGGCCATTTGCTTTGAAGACTTACAAGATGTCCTCTCAACACTCACATACAGATTCTACTTCAATAAGTCAGAGCTAGTTGGGGTTTCTACATAAATTGCTTCTCAAAACACCACTTAACTTGGAGGACACACAACAGGGGAAGAAGTCAGGATCTTCCTGGGTCACTCATACCTGGTCACGAATCTCAGCGAAGGCCCTGCAGCTGTGTTCCCTCATGACGAGGTTAAGTGCCTTTTATTTTCAGGCACTTACATTTCCCTGGAATGTTCAGAGAAAGGAGTAGTTTTCAAAAATTATGTTATTTTATTGTGGTAAGAACATTTCACCCTTTTAACAAATGTTTAAGCATACAGTAACCTATTGTCAACTAGGTACAATGTTTTACAGCAGGCTTCTAGAACTTACCTTGCTTACCTGAAATTTTATGCCGATGGATTACCAACTGTCCGACTGCCCCTCACTCGAGCCCCTGGCAACCATCACTCCTCTCTTTGATTGTATGAATTTAACTATTTTAGGTACCTCATAGAAGAAAAATCATGTACTATTTTTCCATCAGTAACTGGCTTATTTCATTTAGCATTATGTCTTCAAGGCTCATCCATGTGACTTAGAACAGGGATATTTACATTAGTAGAATCAAGTGAGATCCATTCGATACTAAAGCCCTCTGAATACAGGTAGACGTCCCACACGCATCGGGCAGCTGTTCCTGTCTTGCAGAGAATCAGGCTCTGATGCTAACCCTGTTTCCCTGGAACAATCCCATAGAAGTAAGAAGTTTAGTTGACACACCACAGACATTGTTGTGGAGAACAAGTTTAAGATGTCTTTCGACTTGTCGCCTTTTTTTAAACTTTCTCAAAAAGGGAAAATCTAAATACTTCTGTAACCCTTGTCTCTTCCTGCAATTCAGTTTCCGTGAATAGTTCAATCCTAATATGCCAATCCTAATATATATAAACATAGCTCTTTGGTGACTAAATTAATGAAGTGGACACCTTATGAATAGCAAGAAAAAGAAGAAGAAGTTAATGGGGATTTCAATTTCAGACAATATTGCATTATGCTTAATCACACATACAGCCAAGGTGAGTTTTATACCTATATATCTTTTTTTTTTTTAAGATTTTATTGGGGAATTGGGGGAGGAGAACAGCGCTGGGGAATCAGGGAAGGGGAACAGACAAGTTGCTGTCCTTTTGTTCTTCAGTCTAGTTGTGGAGGACGTTGCTTCACTGG